TGGGTCCGCATTCATTTTGTGGTTTTAACGTTTTTTTTTTTTAAAGCATTTTCATGGAAAGATGAAGACCAAACCTCCTGACCCTTAAATTTTCAGCGGATTCGAGTCATTTTTCTGAGCGCTAAAAATCGCAAAATTTGGGGTACTTTTTCCTTTGGCCCACACGTCGTAGGGCGGTAAGAAACGAAAACACAACGGATCGGTGCGGCGTTTATTTCACATTGTTTCTTTTTTTAATGTTTCTGATATTTTTTCTTGAAAGAGTGCAATCTGATCTACAGGATCTGAAAATTTCACATCTTTTCATCAATTACTCTGAGCACGAAAAATCGCCAAAGTTGGCGGTTCAAAATTGCGGGACTGGACCCGCCTGCCACACTCTACAACGTTAGGGTTCGGACACAGGCACTTGCCACACAAGGGTGGGGGGGCAAGCTTTGGGTGTGAACTGCGTGCTCCTGGGGAAAGGGGGGTAGAGGGTTGGTCCTATATTGGGGCCAAGGGAGAGTGGCCGACTCTGTCAGTATAGGTGCTTGGAGTGGCCCTGTCGGTATAGGTGCTTGGAGTGGCTCGGTCGGTATAGGTGCTTGGAGTGGCTCAGTGGGGAGGTGCTTGGAGTGGGGAGGTCGGTATCGGTGCTTGGAGTTGGTAAGGGGGTAGGTGCTTGGAGTGGCTCAGTCGGTAAAGGCTTGGATTGGCTCGATCGGTTGGAGCGGCTCGGTCTGGAGGTGCTTGAAGTGGCTTGGTCGGTAGGTGCTTGGAGTGGCTCGGTCGGTAGGTGCTTGGAGTGGCTAGGTGGCTTGGAGTCGCTCGGTCGGTAGATGCTTGGAGTCGCTGGGTTAGTAGGTGCTTGGAGTGGCGGGGTGGTTACATGCTTGGAGTAGCTCGGTGCGTAGGTGCTTGGAGTGGCTCGGTGGGAAGGTGCTTGGAGTGGCTCGGTGGGTAGGTGCTTCAAGTGGCTCTGTGGGTAGGTGCTTGGAGTGACTCAGTGGGTAGGTGCTTGGAGTGGCTCCGTGGGTGGGTGCTTGGTGTGGCTCGGTGGGTAGGTGCTTGGTGTGGCTTGGTGGGTAGGTGCTTGGTGTGGCTCGGTGGGTAGGTGCTTGGAGTGGCT